TAATGGGTTTTAATGTTTATGTCTCGTCGCTCCGGCCGGACACGGCATCACAGTATGGTGAGGGGCGTAACATTTCCGTCACACGCTTGAGAAATTCAGCCAGTCACAACGCACTAGATAGCTGGCCAATCAGAGCACACCTCGCTTTTCAGAACGATGAGCTTTGTAAAAATCGATGCGTTTTAGAAAGGCGGGGCATAGAGGAGAAACAATAATATACAGTATGTGGAAAATAATGTGTTTTTTTAACCTTAAATCGCATAAACACATTTCATTACACCAAATACACAAAATAATGTTCTGTTTTAGCAACGTCATATGACCCCTTTAATTCATGCTTCACAACCTAGATATTTTGCCAGTGAATTGGCCAATGCCACCAAAATAAAAAGTGTTTTTGTCATCATGTAAGCTACACTGGAAAAAATGTTTAGATGGTTTTTTTCACCATGGAAAAATTTGTTATATTCAAATTTCATTTAATTTAATTTAGTGTAATATGCTCATTTAATTTTGTTATATGCAATTTCATTTCATATTTGATATATGCAAAAAAAATTGTTGACACCTATTTCTATACTATACAAGAATGTCAGTTTTTGTCTGTGTTATCACACTGAGCATTTTAGATACATATTTCAACAATTTATAAAAATATACTGGAAAATGTCAATACTGTAGTACACATATACTGTACATACATTTTTGTAGAAATGTGTTCATGTTCATGTAAACTGAAAATTCACCATTGCTTATTCATTTTTGCACACTCTATTGTCTTCCCCTTACACCACCACACATTCTTACATATCTTTCTATTGCTCTTCCACAACAAGCAACTGTGAATTTTCAGTTTACATGTAACACATTTCTACAGATAAATGTACTATACAAATACAAATGTATTTATACTGTACAGTACTGCAGTAGCTGCTGCAGTTTAATGTTGTGATGTTCCTCCTTGTTTAAAAATGGTAGTGATGGACAAGCTCCATATAAATGCTTCTAAACCTGATTGACAGGGCAAGATTGTGATTCCTTTTTCATTAAAATGCCAAGTAGGGTTGCAAAGGGGCTGAAAAAATCTGTTACATTTCCGGAAATTTACAGAAAAGTTTCCAACTTTTTGCAATCCAATGGCAAGCCATACGCCAACATTCGCAGACATTACAAAAAAAATTCCCTGTCTGATATTTATGGAATATACACGCATGTCTGACAATTTGTGATAACTGAATGGATCATTTTGCATGTAATGGCTCACACGATGAAAGAATGTTTCGAAATTGTAAAGAGGTTGACAATTTCACTGAAAATCAACTCATCAGTTTTGATCAACAATGTGCAAACCGTAGACAGTTGTACTTACTCTTTTGCACGCATGTGGCAAAACACATGCAATTTGCTTAAATCAATAAGAAATTCAAATCTGATGTGAACGAGAAACGAATTGGTCAGACATCTGAACTTTATGAATGTTTTAGCAACATGCTGTTGCTGGGGTGTTTGAGGCGGTTGCTAGGGCATTGCTATGTACTGTACTGTACTGTACTGTTGGTTGGTTACTAGGTGGTTCCTAAGGTGTTTGGGGTGATTTCTTACTAGCTCAAGGGAAAATAGCCCACCCAGTCAATAAGTGTGACTTAAGTCCCACATTCAGTCTAAGTCTTTGGGATTTTTGACACCTGATTTATTGTTTTTGAGGTGAAAATCTTTGATTTGTGTGATTAGAAACATAATAGCACACTGCTCCTCAACACTCCACAATATTTGAGCCATCACTCATGTCCATAGCACAAATGTGTAGGACAAGTCGTGCACTGACATTTAGTATTTAGGCTAGGGATGCACCGATACCAATACTGGTGATACTCGTTAAAATGCCCCGATACCAAACGCCGATACCACACAGCATGTGATAAGTGCCATATTCAGACAAAGAAACACCGACAACAGGCAGCAGAATGGAGTTATTAGAGATTAAAGATGTCTACGAAGTATATGTATGCAATGAATATAAAACATTCAGTATTAATGCCTGTATAGCTGATGTGAGCGTGTGTCTGCATTATATGAGTGGCTTTGGAAAATAAATCGCTGCACGTTTCAGGTGAAAAAAACGCGACTTCTATTTATGAAAATATCACAGTTAGGAGATTTATAGCGAGTGGTTCCCTGCATTTTTACAGCAAATCGCGTGATTACAGTACTAAGCCGGAGCAGCTCTAATGCTATTAAATTAAAGATGATGTAGAGAGAAAAAAAATTAACAGTGAAAGTAACAAAAACTTGTAAAATACATTTTAATGGGCATAATTAAGTGTGAAAATAACAGAAGGATATACAGTCAAACCAAAAATTATTCAGAGACCAGATATAATTTTTTATATTTTTTTACTAGTGGGTATAGGACACTATAGTTCAAATGAAGTTAACCAACTAACATTATACATACTCTTTTGGTTTCTGTACCCAATATTTAAAAAATTTACAAATGCAATGAAAATATTGGTATCGGTACTCGGTATCGGCAAGTACCAAAAATAAAAGTATCGTATCGGGCGAGTACTGGAAAAAGTGGTATCGGTGCATCCCTAATTTAGGCTCAAGTTTGAGCTCCGCTGATAATACATTCACACTGTATGGTAAGGTCATATGCCTGAGTGAGTCAGTAACTGAGTGCTTACTTGGGGAATCTCAATCACTTCATATGTGCACCCTCTTGATTTGATGAATATTTTGTCCTTATAAAATTCTCATAATCCTTTACATCTGTCTGCATTATATGGTAAACTGCACCGCCACTAAGCATGTCTGTAAAAAAAATCTTAATTCCTTAATCCAGAGCGGTTGACTCATCAGAGTTTGAAATAAACCTCTCGCAGCTTCCAAGCCTGCACAAAGAAGAATGGATATTCATCAACAGAAATCCACTATTGCTGATAATCACCCGTAGAATTCAGTGAGAATTTCATGTGGATTGTGCCTCAGAATAGTTATAACCCAAACACAAGTAGTGAAAACACAATTTCTTGTGCTATTGTTTGGGTAGACTCGGTTGTGCAGGGTCCAGGGAATTAAGTTGGACACAGTCAGATGCTTGGAATACAGATAGCTTAACCAAAATTTTAAAGCCTGAGACAGCAAGGTTTTCCACAGAATAAGGCACCTAATCTAAAATACATCATGGGATGCAGCACCATTGTTATCCTGTCCACTTCGCCTGCCTCCTTCCATAAGCTATTGCTCTCGCAAAATAGAAATTGCACTCAGTGTACTCGAGGTTAGATATCTGCAAAGGGAATTCCGACTTGTTTGTACGGAGCTATATATATATGCCCATGCATTTTATACTAAGCAGTGGTAATGCAGTTTTTTTTTAGGTTTTAGGTTTTTCAGGTTTAAATGAGGTTCTTTTTTCTCCTTTAGATACAATGCTTATAGTTATATTACAAATAAGTGGTTTTGAAAAGCTCATTTTTATTTACTATAGCGTAGATATAGCATTAGGTAACCTCTAAAGCAATACATTTAGCAAAATTTCTATTAAATTTACTGCTAGCACATTTAGTCCAGCATAACATATTGCAGTTTCCAGTTCACCATCAATCTTAGGTGACTTTCGTTCACAGATTTTGGATGCTGACCTGGATATGTCCGTGCATGAGCGGTTGCTCATTACTGTGAAGCTATATGGTGTAACACTTTTTGCATCCTTTAATCAGATTTCTCTGCTCACATCTTCAGGCATTGCTGGCAATCCGGTGCAGTTCAATGAGAATGGAGATGCCCCAGGCCGTTACGATATCTACCAGTACCAGATTAAGAACAAAACAGCAGAATACAAGACCATCGGCCACTGGACTGACCAACTTTACCTAAATGTAAGTATATTTGGGATCACAAAAAAAAGAAAGGAAAAAAAATTGTGTCTTGTTTATTCACCTTCATACCATTCCAAACCTGTATTTTGTTATTATTTTTGTCCAACACAAAAATAATAGTCAAATAATCTTTATACGTTATTCCCAACAACAGTAAACAGTGACTATATCTTTAAAGCTCCAAAATTAAAAAAATGCACTATAAAAGTGTGTGTGTGTGTGTGTGTGTGTGAATTGTAAGTCTTCTGAATTGCTTTGTGTGACAGACCAAAATTAATGTCATTATAATCTGAAGTTCGAGGCCAGAATTTAAAACTAGCATGTCACATTGTACACAAGTGAGAACCAGTAACGATTTACCATATGTGATGTTAGTACTAGTATTATTAGTATAATAAAAACTTAATTTTGATCTTTTCCTCAAGCATATTTCTTTAGATTATTGCACATAAGTCAAATAGACCACTTTTTTTTTTGGAGCTTTACAGTTTCTGATCACTTTTTTTTATTTTTTATTTTATAACAAGAGCTGCACAATAATTTATCAAAAAAAAAAAAAAAACCTTCTCTAGTGTTCCACAGAAAAACAAGCAGCATATGGGTTTGGAGCGATGTGAGAGTGAGCAAACAATGACAGAGTTTTCACTTTTTGGTGAACTTGACGCACACATCGCTTATGAAAATGGATTGAAGTATAGCCTTGAGGAAAACTGCTTAAAATTGCTCCTTTGAGATACCCAAGATTTAATTTAATGAGTCAATGGATGAGGAAATGAAAACACTCATTTGAGATGTTAAACATTGTTTCATCTTTAGCCGAGATAAATGGTAAATACTGTTTGTTTTTGCGATTCAGATGCGGGCGATGCAGTGGCCAGGTGGAGGGAAGCAGGTGCCGACTTCCATCTGCAGTCAGCCCTGCAAACCTGGATGGCGTAAGAAGATCGTTAAGGGCATTTCCTGCTGCTGGCACTGCGAGCGCTGCGATGGTTACCAGTATCAGCACGACCTCTACACCTGCAAGATGTGCCGCTTTGATTTAAGACCTAACAAGAATCACACAGGCTGCCAGCCCATTCCGATTGTGAAGCTGGAGTGGAGCTCACCCTGGGCAGTCATACCGGTCCTCATCGCTATTCTCGGCATCATGGCCACTCTTTTTGTTGTGGTCACCTTCATTCGGTACAATGACACGCCGATTGTTAAGGCATCCGGACGTGAGCTCAGCTACGTCCTGCTTACGGGAATCTTTTTGTGTTACGCCACCACCTTCCTGATGATCTCGACCCCAGATGTAGGGATCTGTTCACTGAGGCGAATTTTCCTCGGGCTCGGAATGAGCATCAGCTATGCGGCGCTGCTCACCAAAACCAATCGGATTTATCGGATTTTCGAGCAGGGAAAAATGACAGTGAGCGCGCCACGCTTTATCAGTCCGGCTTCGCAGTTGGTAATTACCTTCAGCTTGATTTCCGTTCAGCTCCTAGGGGTGTGCATCTGGTTCGCAGTGGACCCTTCCCAAGCTCTCATTGACTATGAGGACCAGCGCACGGCAGATCCCGAGATGGCGTGTGGAGTCCTAAAGTGTGACATATCAGACTTGTCGCTCATCTGCCTCCTGGGATACAGCATGTTGCTGATGGTGACGTGCACGGTGTACGCCATCAAGACGCGTGGGGTCCCCGAGACCTTCAACGAGGCCAAGCCCATCGGCTTCACCATGTACACCACTTGCATCATCTGGCTCGCTTTCATCCCCATTTTCTTCGGGACATCGCAGTCAACGGAAAAGGTAAGAGCCGATGAGTGAGCGCAATTCCTCAAGACCTTGCAAATCAAACGTTTTAAAGTAATGACAGCATTTACTGCCACAGCTTCCGACAAATCATGCCATTCAGCGTGGTCCATTTTCAGCAATATACAGACCAGCGGGAACAAATTGACTATGTTCATTTGGGCTTCACATCAAGCAGAGCGGTAAAACAATTTATTTCAAAGAGAAAGTGAGAATCATGAGGTGCGCTACAGCGAAGAACTCACATGGTTTCCTTCGAATATTGAAAAAGACATGTGCGGCTGGGAAAACAAAGGCACTCTTTTTTGCCCATCCAGCACTGTGCTCTCAAAGATAAAAGAGGCTTTGAAAATAGCAAGGAGATTGAGCATCAGCTTTTTGTAGATGATGTAATCAATTGACAAGCACCAACTGACTTAGAATACCGAGCAAAAAGGCTCTTCATTTTGAGGCCGAATTACATATGCAACTACCCTGGCATTGGCTGCATTACTCATTTCAATTAGAAAACCTGGGACCTTCTGTTTCTGAAGCTTAAGATAAGGGCTTTCTCCTTTTTCAATTTGAGTTTTATTTAATTGGTGTCTCCCTTAGCAAAGCCTTGAACAAGCAATTTCAGCAATTTGAGTATTGTTATACTTGTTGGTAGGGAGCCATTACTGCTTTAAACTCAGTTTCCCACTGTGCCTTTTTATCCGCTGTTTGAATTACTCATTCAGATATAAGATGGTATGTACTGACTTATGTAATTGCATGTTGCCTTAGACTATGTTCTGCCTACACCAATCCCTAAGAAACAAATAACTATATTTCTGCTGATCAGAGAAAATCATAACAACGGTAACTATAACCCTGCTCTTTATAACCCCCCCCCCACCCCCCAACCACCAAAAGGTTTTAATGTGAATTTACAGTATTTTTGGCCAACTAGCTGACGTCCTTTCACAGTCATTTTTACAGTAATTTTTCAGTGCAATTTCCTATGAGCAGTCTTTCACCAATTTAGCAATTAGTGGTGAACATTTGAGTGATCGCATTGCAATCTGTCTCATTTGTATCTTGGAATAGTCTTTTCACGATTGGATAGTTATATGATGAGTAAAAAAGCATGAAGGAATGAAGTTGTGAAATTAAAAATGTGTCTGGTTCCGTTGAGCACTTGAATGAATGGCATCCTTTTATGTCAGAAGATATTAATTTGGTGTGCTGTTGAAATTACTTAAATGTTTTTGGACCTTTCAAATCGTAATGTTATGGTTTACATTTTAAAGCAAATGAGCAAATACTCTACTACAGACCTGATCTAGAGGCTACTCCAGTATTGTACTGGCCATTTAGTTTCCCACCATGCACTGCAGCATGAATAAATTAAACGGTAAAAAAAATTTTATTACAGTTTGCTGGTTTATTTTGTTTTTGTTGCAGTAGAACAACAAGTGATGTTGTTTAAATGCAACACAATATGATAAAGTAATGTAGTTACCAAAGAAAATTACAGTATATAATCAGGGCTTGATGTTAATTCTGCTCTGTACATCACAGGACTGACCAAACAGTTTTAGCAATTAGTTTTGCACAGAAAATAAAGCATGCATCATATGACAAAATCCCACCACTGTGTGCACAACAAACAGTGTTTTCAGAGGGGAATTAACATATGAAAACAAGAGCACCTCACAATCATCCAGGCTGGCAAGCACAATAAAGCCTGGCCAGTCAGAGATGACATGCCTCACTTCCTCCTAGCCTGTGATTTACCTTATCTCTCTGCCTGTGCACTTGTCACACGATTTCTGCCAGACACCTCATCAGCATGCCGGCTCCATCAGTTGTTTGTCATCTTATGTCAAAGTGAATAATGAATGTCTTTGGAGGCTTTCTGGAGCATTTGAATGTGGGCAGCTGGTCTAGTCCCTGCTGAATTTGATCAGCCTGTCAAATGATTAATCGGGAGGTCATCTTATTGTGGTTTAACCAAAAGATTTTCAAATGAGCTAGTCTGGCAGGTAGGCCTCATTGTGGTCTAAGGGCTTTAGCATGCTTCCTTCCTGGATTTTAGAAGGATCCAGATGGATTTTTGATTGCTTTGTTGAGTAAACTTGAATGCATGCCCAAAATCTGACCATTGATAAAAACCTGTCTGTCTAAAATAAAACAGTTTAGTTAAAAAGAGAAGCACAATCATTTTCTGCATCTTAAAAATTAAAGTGTGGATTATAATAGATAAAAAGCAATCAAATGAATGCAATTAAGCAGCTTTTTCATCCTTAATATATTAAGTGCTGGCAAAAAGTGTACACTCTCATTTTTCCATGAATTTTTTTTCTTTCTGTTTTAATTTGTCCATTCAAATTTTCAGTTTTAATGGTTAAATCGTGTTAATAATCAAAAGTAGGTGTAATTAATTGAAATAATGAAACTTATAAACGGTTTATTATATTATTGGAGTATGTTTTACAAGAAAATATTATTTCAGGCTTTCTGCTTTAAAATTTCACATTTAATTCAATGTGTTTTTTGCTGATTCTTTATAATTATATGTATTTATTATAAATATTATAAATATAATTACTTACATATTTACATAAAGAGTCCTATTAATTTTTATTTTTTCCAAAATAATGTGTTTTACAAATTAATTAATTAATTAACAAAATTAAATAAAAATAAGCTGTTCCTTTGACTTTTCACCTATGCATATATATAATATCTCCATGATATATTTCAAACCCTCCTCTCTACAAATGGCAGGTTTTTGGCACAACTTATCAGGAGATAATGTGGGCATGACATTTTTGTATTTATTTATTTGTCAGGGACGATAAACATACATTTTTCACATTCAAAACTTCACATTGATGTAAATGTGCCAGATTATATGAAGATGCATTGTTTTCAGCTGATGTCCCTGTACAAGTTGATATTACAGATCATACTGTGCAGTGAAACGTTGTAAGCAAAACTTCCAAACCCTTCTTTCTGATTCTAGATGTTATCACAACCTCTCTCATGTTGGTTTTGAGGACGCTTGATAATATCTTAAGTCAAGCATTTCACCGTACATGGACTGCTATTTGTATGCATCTCTGCCCTCCAAAACTGGAAGCTATCATTACAGTGCCATCATGTCATTAGGGTTCACTTGCAGGGGCTTTCCTCCTTTGTGCTGCTGACAGAGTAATCACTGTCTCTTTCTGAGTGAGGTCAACATCTCTTATTTTCATACAGGTGTGTGTCAACGATGTGACAGATGTAGTAGCGGGGGGCCCTGACCTCTGTTAAATGTCAGTTTCTTTGACATTTCCCTTATTGAACTCCTTCAGTCTGCCATTCATTTGTTAAATGAGCACCTTGTGAAGACAGATGCATGAGTGCATTTTTTCTGAAATATAAAAAAAATAGCTTCTCATAGATAGAATTTAATGCATGTATTTACAGCGTAAGCCTGGTACACTCTGCAATGAAATAAAATAAAGGGAAATTTATCGTACTATTGAAATGATGTGAAGAATAATAAAACATTTACTTTATATTGTGCTGCTGGCCAAAGCTCAACGCATAAGCATAAGTACTTTTTTTTCTACTAAACTGTGAAACATGGCTCAGTCAAACAGGTAGTCCTGCTCCCAAACTCATGTGATTGGTTGAGCTAGAGGTTCATCAGATGGGCAACTCAATCAAGCAGAGGATTATTTTGAAAGCATCACCAAGCAACAGTGTTTACATCCTTCTGTAAATCAACCTACAAATGGTTTACTTAGTCATCTCTTGGCATTAACATGGGATAAGAGACAGCCTCTTAAAGGAATAGCTCACAAAAAATTTAAATTTGCTGAAAATTTACTCCATCCAAGATGGCGATAAGTGTTTTTTTTTTATCTAAACAGATTTGGAGAAATTTAGCATTACATCACTTGCTCAGCAATGGATCTTCTGCAGTGAATGAGTGCCGTCAGAATGAAAGTCCAAGCAGCTGATAAAAGCATCGCAGTAATCCACAAGTAATCCACACGACTCCAGTCCATCAATTTACATCTTGTGAAGTGAAAATATGTGTGTTTGTAATAAACAAATCCATCATTAAGATGTTTTAACTTCTCCAAATCTGTTCTGATGAAGTAGAAAACTAGCAATCTACATCTTGGATGGCGTGAGGGTGAGTATATCTTCAGCAAATTGGGTGAATTATTCCTTTAACAAAATGGCATATAGATTTAATTCATTACAACATTCAGGGATAACCTGGATCCGTGCAAACTTTCAGTGAAGTCCAAAGTTTTCATGTGGAACATTCCAATTTTCACTCCATCAAGCCTTGCTTTGATTGGACAAGATATTGTAAAACTGAAACCTATTGTTTGTTTTGGTGTGCAGCATATTCAAGGATTTTAAATGTGCATAATGGATAGTTAATTTGAATGAAGAACATTCACATCCCTTTGAACGGTGTTTTCCATAGCGCTGCTATTAAAGCGGTCATGAACTGCCTTTTTTTTATTATTTTGTGCTGTTCTCTGAGGTCCCCTTATAATGTTATCAAGATTTTTACGCCAAAAAACATAATAATTTAGAAGTAATAGGCTATTTTCTGTCCTGTTTTGTGTGGTGCAACATTACTGTCAGATCCAATATAGTCAGCACTTGTTTGTAAATGAATCGGGGGTAAAATGAAGTGGACAAATGACAAAGTTCTTACTGACGTGGTCTGGATCTTCATTAAAAATAAACTTCATCCACTTTCTTAATGTTGGGATCAGAAGGACGGTAATGCAAACTGTTTTTCCACAACTTGGCACTGCACAGCGTCTTGTCTTCAAAGCCAAGATATCTTTATCATGTTGTTTCTGCGTAGACCTGCGTTTGCCTCTCGTTATTATTTAGCTTCTACTTGTGCGAATCGGTGGGCGGGGCTAAACAGGCAGGGATGTAGAAGCAGGCGTTGATCATCTTCTGTGGAGGTTGAGTTTAACCACATTATTACATCATAAAGTGGCACA